AGTAATTTTATTTTTTCATTAAAAAAGAGTAAAAATATAAAATTATATATATTGCATTAAAGCTGTTTTAATATCTTATTTTGAATTTTATTTAATTTTTTACATATACTAAACAATATTATAAATATTTTAGAATTTAATTATGTACAATTGTTAAAAAGTAAGATAACAATATTATTAAAAAAATCAATTGTAAAAACAAGTTTCAACACTATAAATGAGCAATAAGATGAAAAATTATATTATAACATTATTTTTATCACGTTATATTTCAGATTAAAGTACAAGATTAAAAAAACCGAACCTTGATGGAAGGGAGAGATTAAGGAGTACTACGTACCTCTTTTCGAAATACCTCTTACTCCCTCCGAGAGTATTTGTCCACTTTCATTTTTGCACACCATCCAATACACTTCTTTAATCCATTTTATCTTGTAATTTGTATATTAAAAAATTATAAAAATTATATATTAATAATCTATATGTTAAGATAAATCAAACAAGATCACATATGACTATATTTAGGCTTATACATTGAGAGAATTTGATGAGTCAAAATACTTAGATGAACAGTTACAAAAGTCAAAAGTGGACGAATATAGCGGAACGGCGGTAGTATTTTATAAGGAATCTGATATAATTTGTTAATACGGGGTATATGTATGTATGCATATTATTTTGAAGTTGTTTACTATTATCTAGATAAATAAAATTAAAAATAAACTTAGTTAAAACTTGTTCCTTGAAATAAGACAATAATTTTGGGACGCACAATAGACTCGAATTATTAATTCTAAGAGCATATTGTATTCATCTGACCTGATTGAATCTGATCTGATTTTATTAAGGTCAGATATGATCTAGTCTAATATGATTGTAGGGATATTGAAAACTATTTATGATTGTAGTATGATCTGATTCCAATAAAGAAAGCAATAAGTAATAAATTGAAGAGAATTTAAGATGAAACTAGTATTGAAAATCGGGATGGTGCAAATGACTAATGCCATCCTATGACATTGCCTCTAATTGATGCATTTATCGTGTCCTATTCAAAAAAAATTATTGTCTTTACCCCTAAAAACCACCCCTTGAACACTTCACGCCCCCCAATCAGAATCGACTCCCCCACCCTGCTTGAATTACATACCCGAATCCGACCTGACCGACCCGCCAAAGTAAGAGTTTTTCAATATCATACACTTTACTACTCGTTTTTAGTGTATAAATTTATATTTTCTAACAAAATTTTAATGATATTTCATAATTATCTTACTTTTTTCTAAAACATAAACATTTTTAAATTTCTTATATTGATTTGTACATCTAAAAATTACTTCAGAATTTAAAATAAAATAATCTAATAGGTTTAATGCATATTTTTTAGTATTATAAATTTATTTAATACAAAATGTATGTGTTAATGTTAATTTAAAAATTTTTAAAAACTAAAGTCATAACTCGTTGGGTCAACCTGAACTCGATGACACTTGGTCATGAACATACTATTCTCAACCCGAACCTGAATTAACCTGAACTCGAAATAACCCGAACTCAAAGTGACCGAATCCGAACCCGACCTGACCGACCGACTAGCCAGCTCTAAGTAATGTGGAGGTGGGTTAGGGGGTAGGAACCGTCAATTTTGCGAATGGTGCACCGGATGTGCTCTAAAATGATAGTTGCACCGGAGTGTCACTCCTCTCCGGTGTTACTATATATATATATATATAATTTTTAAATTGTTTACTATTATTTAAATAAATAAAATTAAAAATAAACTTAGTTAAAACTTGTTCTTTGGAATAAGACTAATTTTGGGACCCACAATAGACTCCTTCTAAAAATAATTTGTATTCATGTGACGTGATTGAATATGATCTGATTTTGTTAAGGTCTGATATGATATAGTCTAATATGATTGTAGTTATACTAAAAACTGTTTCTAATTTAATCTAGTATGATCTGATCCCTATAAAAAAATAATAAGTACTCCCTCCGTCCTATAATGATCTTCCCAGAGCACTATTCCAACTTCACAGAAATTTATATTTATTTGTGTTTTTTCATGGCCTATATGATAAAATAAAATATTCTTGTCACCACTTGTTTTGTTGAACTTTTGGTGTAGTTTTTAAATATGTATGTTTTATTTTTTATTTCTATACCAATATTTAGATAAAATAGATTGAAAAAACTTGGGATTTTTCTTCGTTTTGCGAACCGGGAAGATCATTATAGGACGGAGGGAGTAATAAATTGAAGAGAATTTAAGAAATAGTATTTAAAAATTGAGATGGTTCAAATGACTAATGACGTCCTATGACATGACCTCTAATTGATGCATTTATCGTGTCCAATTTAAAAAAATTATTGTCCTTACCCCGAAAAATCACCCATTGAACCCTTCACACAGCCCAATCAGAGTCAGACCTCCCAAAGTCCCACCTCCTTAAATTGCATCCCTAAGTGTAATTTACTACTTTGGGATTCAAATATCAAAGAAACTCCCTTGATTTAAGAAACAAATAATTTGTAATCTTTAATATTATGCTTATTTTATGAACCTTTATACACAAAATAAATTTATGTATTGAGCTTTATAAAACTAAATATGAGATACAACTATGAATTTATAAAAAAATATGTGAAAAAATCCAATTTTCACATGTAAACCTTAAAGCTACAATAAGACAATTTGATTTAAAATATGTTGTAAACATTTTTTGTTATAGATAATCGTTGTCACGCCAACTTGGACCTTACGCGGTTGGGACGTAGACACCGTTAAGTTAACGGAAGAAGGGACCTACTAGAAACTACCGTGAACTACTAGACCTCTTCTTTCAATTTCAATTTTTATCCGTCCGTTTTATTTATGGCGTTAAGGAAAATAAAAAAAAGGGGGAAAGATGGTAAATTTCGAGGAATCCGAGGCCCCTCTATATATATATAATGTGAAAATAAGGACTTTTCTGGTAAAGTGGAAGGCGGTTCTTGGCATTCTTCCTGGGAGCACAAACACAGCTATTCCACCAACAAATTTCTCTCAGTTTCCATCTTTAGACACACCACAGTTACGCCAATCTGTATTTAGTGCTGCCCCTAGAAATTAGGGTTCTCTGTGATTTCGATAGGATATATTTGGATTCTCTCCGATTTTCAATTTTGGGCATCCATCAGATTCGGCTCTGTTGGCTGTTGGGAGTACAAGAATATATAAAAAAAATCAAATCTTGGACTTGTTTCTTGCTGAAAGATAGGGGCAAAAATGGCTCCTTGGAACAGGCGTGGAGGCTTGGTGTCTGGGTTGGTGAGGAGCCACTCGTTTGGCCGGAAAAGGGTCGTCTTGCCGGTTTCTCTCATGGAGGAGGAGGTGGAGGAGCCGGCGAAGAGACGCTGCTGCTCGGAGGCTTCTCTTCCGGCTTGCGGGAACTCGGTTCTTGAATCTTTGCCTCTCGATGTTTTGGTATGTTGCTCAAATCTCTTTCTGCGTGGTATGTTCGCACTTTGATTTGATTCACAGTTGGTTTGACTTGTGAGTTTGGGTTTTGTTCGACCGGTTCGCAGATTAGGATCGTTTGTAGGGCGGATCACGATGATTTGAAGAGCTTGTTCCATGTTTCTAAGGCCATTAGAGAAGCGGTATGTATTGCTAAGCTTGATAGCTATAATCGTCCCCTTCCAAAATGAGGTTTAGCCTTTGGCTTTAGAAGGGGTGAAAATTGAAATGTGTGTGGTTGAAATTAGAGAAATTATGATTCAATTCCTAAAAGGAATTTCGAAAAGTTTATACAATTTCCAAAAAAAGAAAGTTTGAACTTTATTTTGGAATGGAATGAGGGTGTAGGACAATTTTTTTAAAGTTGATTTATATAACTTTGTTGTTAGTATTTACAATGTTTTCATTTTTCTTTTTATCAGACGGTAATTGCGAAGAAATGGCATTTCGAGTATAGCACGCCGAGGAAAACCATTGGTTTCAAGGACACGAATTGTGCAAAGCATTTGAGCGATTCGGATGCAGTTGAGGCCCCGAATGCTCCGAAGCATTCGAAGATCCCTAAATCTCGGCTGAGCAGTAAAAAGCTAACCGATATATCAGTTGCGCTCTTCACATCGGACGGTGACGAGAACTGGCCGCGAAGGGGTGAGTTGTTCGTCTGAACGGAAAGAGAGATATAGTAAGTGAACAAAGATGGCCATATTTATAGGTAGGAAGCAGGCGGTTTTGGTTTTTGTACATGCATTGTTGTACAAATGGTAGCTGTTGTACATTAAATTATGGTGATCTTCGTGAGCCGGTCCGCTTTGATTCTTCAATTGATTCATTGAAGAACGACCGGGCTCGATCGGTAGATTGTATCTTTGTACAAGTAGCTATGGAGACATAGAATGAATGAATGAATGATGTGTTGAATGAGATTTGCATAATAGTCTCACTCTTGTAGTAATAGTGGAGTGTGATCTATCTTGGTAGATGTGAAGTGCTAATAAAATAAGAAAGTTTCTTTCTTGGTTAGATTCAGGTGCAATGGTTTTGTGTTTTTTGATAAGACATGCAAACATGCTTTTGGACTTTGGTTTCCATGATTGCAGGTTGAGAATGTTGACCCATTTTTAGTAAGTAATCAATTTGTGTGACAAAAATATGAGATAAATTGGACTTTTTTGGAATGATAAAACCAAGAAAAGAACTCTTATTACCTTTGTTATTACCAAATAAAAAAAACTTGTGAAATTTCAAACTGTGTCCATGTCAAAATGGTTTGAAGTTACCCTGATCTGTTAAGTTTCATAATCTACACTGTATGGCTCTGGATGAAAAATTACTCCGTAGTTTATATTATTAATAATTGGAGAAATCTAATACTCTAGTAATATTTTAGTAGCTGTATGATGGATGAGGAAATGCAGATTCCTCCCATTGAGGAAAATAAAAGAAAATCATTTTCTTTTCTTTCCAATTTTTTTAAACCAAACAGAGTGTTAAGGCTTCCAAAATCACCCTAGCCTAGGACAAAATAGAAGGCTTCCAAGAACAGACAAAGAAGTACTTCAATTCATGGCTGAAATGAAAAGCTATACATATGTGTTTCAGTGACACATTTGAAAACCATTACAATATATGTTTATACAGCAGAACAATGTACATCTCACAACAACAACAAACCCAGTAAAATTCCACAAAAGCAGGGTATATATATAGAGAGAGATGGGTTGACAATATTATACATGACCACATATAACTCAAGCGTTGAGGATAACGTCTCTTAAAACTCGTAAAACGCGGTTTGCAACCTCCTGCCCGAAAAGCCTGGGGTAACTCGATTCGAGATCAATCTCAAACCCCTTGTTCCTGAAGACGCGGTCCCTCCTCGCTAGTTCGCGACTCTCATCCACTCCAACTTCCCCCCTCTCAGCACAAGCACACAACTCAAGCCATATCTCCAGCATTTCCTTGGCAACAGGGCTCACATGATCCCTAACAATATCTTCCATGCGATCCACGGAGTTTGCTTCTATGGAGACCAGAATGGATGAGGGAGAGAAAGATGCCCGAACATATAGAGAGCGAGAGTAGTAAGGGCGCACCTCGGGCAGAAGCATGAGACGTTCCCTGTGTCGGTCCAACTGGGTGTCCTCATAGAACACCTTCAAGTAATCGGGATGCATGACGAGGTCCTTTCGAGGAGGGAGATCAAGAATGAGAACCAGAGACAGTGGAGAGGTTTGGATGAACTCTATTAGGAAGTTTGGCGCGTCGGTTGAGGGTCTCAGATATGTATAGAGAGTGGTTATGTTCAGATCCACTCCCCCGGGCGGCAACTTGCTGCCATGAATCCAACTCCCTATTATGAAATCAATCTGTGTTGCACATTTGAGTGTTAAAATCATTCATTAACTTCTATTCAGTGTTTTTTTCCCAACGGTATCAGTAACATACTCAATAATCAAGCCCTATTGAATAGTATAAATCCTTATTCTGAAGCTTCGATCACAAGCTTAATCTTATGCTTTAGTTCGTTGAACAACAATATAACAATCAAACTAGCAATTCCATCAAATCCAATTCGTTGACAGATTTACATGGTAAAAAAAATCAGAAGTAAATGTGAGGTAGAATTTACCGGGGAGGAGGGGAGGCCTTTCCGGACATGGAGAGCGGCAAGTGCAGAGCCATTAGGGTTTTGATAGAATTGGACATCGGGCGGGAGGGTACACGGGTGGAGATCGGGCCGGAGTCGGGTCTCGACGGAGGAGACGAGTTCCGCCATCAGATCTCTGTGCGCCGGGGAGACGTGCGGAAAATCAGTGAATTTGGATCGAGATTCTTCGGCTTGCAAGGGCTCTTCTTCCATGGGCGTGGGAGATGATGATGAACAAAGGGATATTTGCCGGGTTCGTCTGGGGAAACGTAAGGATGGAAGGGAAGGCGAAATTCCAGTTCTAGAAGCAATGGAAGGCAGCACAAGTGCAGAAGAAGAAGAAGAAGAAACGGCCATTTATCTATGGGCTCCGTCTGGATCCCTTTTGCCTTCAAAAGTGTGAAAATTTATCAAATTCTAGCTGAAGAGATACAGGCAGATCTTGCTTCATTGCTCGTGAGTAGTGAGTGTCAACTATACAATCACTCCTTAATCTTACTTTCGGAAAAAGAAAAAGAAAAATTCAAACCAAAATTTACTTTGTTATTCCTAAAAACATTATGACCCCTTTTGTATTAACAATTCCAAATTCACATATTTTACGCTACTAAACAACAGAATTGAGATTGAAGCTTCAAATTTCAATTCCAATACTTGAATTTCATATATAGCTTTAGCCTAACTACTTTTTTGGATTTTTGATATTTTTGTTTGCATACATTTTCTATGACATGTTTTATATAAATAATATCCTTGTCAACAAATACTTTATAGAACCTTTTATATAATTTTAAAATATGTGATATCTATTTTTTATTTCCTTATCAATTAGTAAATAAAATCAATTTAAAATAAATAATATTTTACGTCCGTAATGCTCCCACCCCCTCCTCCCCCCATGAGTGATACGCCGTGGCTACGCCTACGCCACGTCCTTTCCTTCCTCACGCGAACACCGCCCCCCTCCCCTCGTGGCTACTACAAGTGAGAGCATTTGTGAACGGTGGTCACGACCGTGGTGCTCCACTGCCCATCCGATCAATTCTTTTTTTCTTTCCTTCTATGTAATGGTCGTGTTGAACCAAAAGAATTATTTTTCTTAAATTTCCCGCTTACTAACTCCATCCATCTTCTATTTAAACATATCAACTCCAACCAATTTCAAATACAATCACTTCTTCATAATCTCAATTGTTAATATATTTCTTTTATAAATTTTATGTTCCTACTCACACCATGAATATAAACAATCCAAATTTTTCGTATTTTTACAATCTCAATAACCGTCCACCCTTCAATCCAAACTATCCGAATGCCAAGAATATGTTTGATAAATTTTATTGTCCGACTTCCGACGGATTTGAATATTGGGCTCCATCTTCGAACTTCTTTTCGGGTGGTTGTGTTTTTTTTCATGTTTTCCTTTCATATATTTTTTAAATTTATGTAATGCATGTGTGTACTCTTCTTTTATTCATCATGGCGCTTTTTAATTAGTTGTCCTTTTTTGTGCCATAATTTGTTACTCCGAGGATAATATAAAAAAGGAAACAAACTTTTTAATACAAAAAAAAATTAATAATGACCAAAATTTAATTATAAAAAAATATTTATAAAATTAATTGCGAAAAAATTAACTTTAAAAAATTAAGAATTATCGACGGTACACGTTAAACCAAATGGTGGATAAGAAAAGGACCAAAAAGGGCTTTGTTTTATTTCTTATTTCATCTTCAAATTAATTTACACGTGCTCCACTTCAAATTTCAAGTGACGAAACACTTCTCCTGCTGCTCTGTGTCGTCAGCCTCATTCTCAATTTCCTCTTTATTTCTCCAATCAATCTACCTTACTTCTTGAATTGGTTCTTGGATGTAATCAACAAAGTCAGCTCTGTTTTAATGGCGACAAAAGAGTAAGAGTTTAGTAGAATAATTAAAACTAGGGTTTATATGTTCCTCCATCTTCACACATCTCTATTTTAATGTTCCTCTCTCTGTTTTTCATTTTGTTCATGTAATTGGTTTTAATTTCTAGTAGTTTAAAATTAAGAATTGCACCACTTATTGAAATTGGGTATGCGATGAAATTAGGGGTTTTTATTTTGAAAATTTTACTAAACTCCACACCCATAGTCCCACAATTTTTTTTACATTCAAAAAAACAGTTTTATATAGAGTAAAACAAGAAAAGAAGGGGGGATCGTGTCTGCACAAGAAAAGCAAGAAAAGGGTAAAGTAATAAAAGAGGGGTTGAGTTCGTGCGTGGGACACACGCTTTGTTTATTACTAACGAAAGGACTGTATCTGCAGCTAGAGTATTAGTTGAAGGACTATTTATGGATATAAAAAACTTGAAGGACCAACGGTGCACATCTCAAAAAGTTGAAGGACCATACGTGTATTTTAGCCTTAAGTTGGAAGTCCACAAAATATTGGTCTACATAATTATCAAAAACATGAAGCAAATAGGCCCAAACAGGTCCAAGGCATACACTCCTCGTGTGTGTAGCAACAATGCAAGGAATACACGTTGCACTAGGGGTGAGCAAGTACCGAACCGATACCGAAATTTCCCGAAAAAACCGAGAATACCGAACCGAAAAAGTACCGAGAACGGCGAGAAGGAACCGAACCATACCGAACCGAATGGCCGGTACGGTATTTGGGAACGGTACGAGGTGACGTCCCATACCGAAAATCCCGAACCGAACATATATACTAAAATATTATAAAAAATAATACCCCGGAGTAATATTTTTATATTCCTTCACTAAATAATAATTTTAAAAAAAGAAAAATCGATTCAAGTTCTATTACGTGTAAATTATACTTTTATTGGAGTTTTAGTTTATGTGTATGAACATAAAAGTATTCACAAAGATTCGAAATAGTCCTTTGTTGTCGTTCATATTTTTAGTTTGTGAAATATAAACTAAGTTTTGATACACATCTCTTGCATTTAAATATTCATTTTTTTTATTTTTCATGTTTTTTTATTTAAATTCACTTTTAATTTTCAAAAATAAAGGGGTGTTGTTAAATTTTAATGTGTAAGTAGGTATGTATATTCATCCCGATTTGTACCGAAACCGATACCGAACCATTCCGAACCGATATTTCGGGATCGGGATCATTACGGAGTAAAATCACATACCGAACCGAAATATTTGGTACAATATCGGTACGAGCTAAATACAGTACCCTATCATGCTCACCCCTATCACCCCTACGTTGCAGTGCCCCCCAGCGTTCACCGTGAAAACTGAAGTCGGTGTGTTGTAAACCGTCTTTCCCGAAAAGGAATCTCGTCGCCTTTCTGTATATCTTCCATCTCCCGCATAAAATTGATCGCACAGAACACAGAAGTGGAGCAAACCCTAAGATGGCGTCTTCCAAACGCGAATTCCAGAGCACGGACGACGGGTCAGGTTCCAAAAAAGCCAAGCAGGACGCTCCCGGCGTCCATGTCCAGCCATCTCCCCCTCTCAGCGGCCCTCTGCGACGGGTGGCCCTTAATCCGGCCGACTGCGACGTAGGCAAGTATTATTATCATTATTATCGTTGTCATTTTCGGATGCCGTGCTTGCTTCAGTTCAATAGGGCAAGAATGAAAACGTAGTTCGTGTATTTGTGGTCTGAGGATTCTATTTGCTGGCGATTGCATTTTTTATCCACTTTATATCTCTGTTTTGAATTCTTGAATACTAAGGTGTCAATCCCCGCGGCTCAGCAGTATTTTAATTCGTATGTACTCTGGTCCTGTGTTCTAGCAACATGTTTTCATGAGACCTTAATTCCTTCGGTTGCTTTCCGAACTAATCTGAACTTCTACCGTTGTTGGTATATTGACCAAATTGGTGATAGGTGATTAGTTGGACCTCATCTGGAATGGGGAAAAGTAGAAGGTACTTATACTAAGCATGCCAAAATACAACCCCTTTCTACGTGGCAGTGAGCTACTTGTTGCTTTGTTTGGGCCAGATGCCACTATAACTTTGGATTAGCTTGATATTGTCCACAATCGGTCAAGTCGGCATGAATTTGGTTTCAGACATCCCAAAAGGCTTATGGAATTTGTTGTACATTTTTATTCAAATCCATTCTTTTTTTATTTTCAATGTCGGATTTCGTTTGATACCCCAGTCCCCAACAGTGATATGTGATTCTGTTCACTACATATTGAAATTAAGCATTTTTTACAAGAATCAAGCCTTTTTCTTATTGTTGAAATAACACATTGAAATTCCTTTTTGCCAGACTTTGATATCGGATTAAATGGGCTGCAAGGTTCAGCACTTCATGAAAATGGGTTCGCTTATTGTTGGTCTGGTGCTCGAGCAAGTGTAGGAATAACCGGAGGGAAGTATTGCTTCGGATGCAAAATCATTTTTGATCAACCCGTAACTATGGAAGACACCCCACTAGACCAACAACATGTGTGCCGAGTTGGTGTCTCAAGGGGAGATAATGCTGTTGGCAGCCTTGGTGAAAGCTTGCATAGTTTTGGTTTTGGGGGAACTGGGAAGTTTTCTACTGCAGGAAGGTTCTGTGGCTATGGTGATAATTTTGGGGTTGGTGACACAATTGTTTGCTGCCTTGACCTTGAAACTAAACCTGCATCAATTGGCTTTGCCAAGAATGGGCAATGGTTGGGAGTGGCAAGACATTTTGAAGACCTGACTAGTCTTGATGTTGTGGATCATCCAATTAAGCAGCTAAAGTGGGAATCGGCGTTTTTCCCTCATGTTTTACTTAAAAATGTCGTGGTTAGTTTACAGTTTAGTGTGGAGGATGGATTAGACGCTGTTGAAGGGTATAAGCCATGGGTTTCTGCTATAGAGGATGGAAAAGCATTGTTGGGCCCAACATTCTCAGATGTTAATGATTGTGAACTTATAATGATGGTTGGTTTGCCTGCCTCAGGCAAGAGTACTTGGGCAGAGAAATGGATGAACGAGCATCCTGAGAAGCGATATATTATTCTTGGGACAAATACAATCCTTGATCAAATGAAGGTAGTTTTTAAAATTTGGGTTTTACCATTAAGATGAAATTTAAAGACAAGCCAATCTTTAAATGCATGTTTGGCTGGAGGGTTTTGGTGGGTTGAGTCTATACCTCAATGTTGGGATAATGATTAATAATCAAAAGAAAAGAATAAAAAAATAAGGAAGAAGACAAAGAAGAAAGAAAAAAAGGTACGGGTATCATGCATGCATGTATAATGTATGTGAAGATGTGGTGTTGATGGGCCATGCATTGTCATTTTGTTCTTGGTTGGAGAATTGTTGCAGGATACTCCCTATATAATTAGGTGTGTTAGAGAGAGTGGGTGTGTGGGTTTTACACACCACCAAGGCAGAGGAGACAGAAATATGGGAGGAATTCTACACAAGAATACCACCGGGGAAATCCAAGGGGTCTTGGTGAGTGTGGGTGAGTGTAGGGAGTAACTGGTTTTAGTTACTCGAAAAAATACATCCGGGCATAGGATGTGGAAAGATCTGTTTATGAGTGTTTGAAATTTAGTCTTTTAAACAGATGAGAGTTTTTTGTATATTGTCCTGAAAGAGTGGAAATATAATTTTTTTCTCTCATATATTCTTCTTGTGTTTGTTCTCTCATTTTTATGGTGTTCTCAATATTTTTCGGTATCTTACGCGCTTAAAATCCTAACACTCAATAACAAGAATGTTTCTGAAAAAGAATAAAAGGTGATTGAAGTATTTTACTATCAAATATTATGTTAACCTTTCAATTACAGTTAAATTTTCAAGTGTGTGTGTGTGTGTGTGTGGCACATACATAAATAGTAAATACATACATATAGACTTGGTCCTCCAAAACATTTCATCCAAATTGGCCCTCACTGAAGTTTTTTTTCACGTCTTTCATAGGTGCCTGGTCTTTTACGCAAGCATAATTATGGTCAGCGATTTGAATGTCTAATGGATCGCGCTACTCAGATATTCAACACTCTTCTACCCAGGGCTTCAAAGCTGCCTCGTAATTTTATACTTGACCAAACCAATGTGTATAAGAGTGCCCGTAAGCGCAAACTTAAGCCATTCTTGAACTATAAAAAGGTGGGCCTACTTCTCTAATTCCTTTTATTAATATATATAGATTTTTTTCCTTGCGATGAGGCAGGGGTTTTTGAATGGGAGTATTCTTAAATTTTGTTATACTGGTGACGTGTTATTTAATTAGATTGCTGTTGTGATTTTTCCAACACCGCGAGAGCTCAAATTTCGTGCTGATAAACGTTTCAAAGAAATGGGGAAGGAAGTTCCTGATGAAGCAGTAAATGAAATGTTAGGTAGTGTTATGGATAACAATGTAAATGAATTGGCTGTCTTAAATACTTATAGTTGTATCATTTTGATGCGATTTGTACTTTTGCAGCCAACTTCTCTTTACCGATGAGCAGAGACATGCCACATACAGATGAGCACTTTGATCAGGTAAGAGGCTGTACAGTAGATACAATTTCTTATGCTCTCAGCCTCAGGTGTTCTTATGTTCTGAGAGATATGGCGGTGCTTGAAGGTTCTTTTTCCAGAGCTGGGGAGATCAGAGTCTCAGAGGTGTTTGGATGAGATGAGAGCAAGTGTAAGATCAAAAACAGGATCACCATTGCCATCTTCTTTTGCAACCTCTTCACATGTCCAATCATATAGTGGTCTACCATTGCAAGCTCTTGGCCTCCCACAAGGTTTTCTTCATGTCCCTTTCATGTCTATACTCTGAAAAAAAAAAACTATTTTACCAAAATATTTTCCGTTCTTTCTTTAGTAAGTGCGGTAAAGTGTGTTCATAATAATGCACAGGTCGTCCAGGTTTGGGAGTAGAAACATACAATTCACATTCTCTTCAGTTCTCATCCACATACAACATGGCCACCCATTACCCCAACCCTTCTTATTCTCATCATGGGAGAACATATCTTCCACCAGAACCAGCAATGTACATGAACCCTGCAGCTCAATATGGTAGGTTACACATCATCTGATGAATTCTAAATCCTAAAATTGCTATCATGTTACCTTTATCACTAACCCATTTAGCTCGTGTCTTGTAATTTTACCATTAGGCCCCCCTCCTTATGGGACTCCAGACTATTCAAGACCATTATTATCGTCAAGCAATTTTCCGAGCAGTATGCTGCAATCCAGAGGAGTAGGATATGGCTATTATGATCCATTGTCCCCTCCAATGCAACCTAGAGGAAACATTGATTATCCATATATGCAACCTCCTGGATGGATACCACCGGAAATTCGACCTCCTTTCAGGTACTACTGATTTAAACTACCGCAAGGCCAGTTTAAGGAAGTGGGTTCAGGGGAGTTAAGCCAATGCTACATTAAGTAGAAGAACAATATAAGAGATAAAAAAAAGGACAGAAGTATATCAATAGAAGGCGGAGTAAAAGTTCTGTGTTCAGCTGTTTTCTAGTACGTTCTGTCTTCTTATATCCTACTCTTCTGAGAATATTTGACTTGCTTAAAATGTAGGTGGATGTGAATAAGTACATTTCAATATTTTGTCACATTATTTGATTTTTTTTGGGTACAAGTCACACGTATTTGATTGTTGTCACATTTATTCACACCGGTACTTCATGTTATCCTTAAGGGTAATGCCAGGGTGGAGTACACTATTTGTACGCTGAAGCATTTACAGACACACAATGTCTGCACAATATATACAGATATTGTCATATTGAGTATTTGTGTGTCTGTGAATGCTTTGGTGAACCAATAGGGTACACCACTTGGGGTACCCCTAGCATTCTTCTATCATTAAATAAGGTACCTAGGGTATTTATAGGCCCACTGGGGTTTGTGGTCGTTTTGGGTTCGATCGTCTTCAAATTTGGCCAACAAAAATCTTTGTTCAAAATCAAATTTTCTCAAGTCGTGTCTTATGTCAAAAACAGGTCAAATTATTTTTTGTTAGACGTTCCTGCAACTAATTACGCTTAGTAACTAATCCAAAAATGAATCCAAAATGTTCTAAAATTTGGACATTCCATCACCGGAACAAGAGGTGTCCCTAACAAAATCAAACCAATACCAAGTTGAAGTTGGGTACATAGTCTATTAGACTCGAATTGAATAAAACTTGAAAGGTGCAATCTAATGGAATGAGACTTGAAATCGAATTATGAATGAAGTAAACGATCATCCCAATCGAATAAACAAGATCACACTTATTGTATATCGGTCTAGTTCATGTGATATTGAATTTCAATGTCATAGCATGATTCAGGATACCTATGATACTTCATTTAAAAAATTGATTGATGATTCATATTTTTTAACTTTTTCTCCTCTCCCTCCTTTATCGACGGTTGTTATTGTAACCAATCAATGAAAGGAGATGGGGTGCATGAAGGTTGGAAGGGATAAGAAAGAATAATAAACTTTAGACATTGATCTTAAATAACGTCTACATGTAGAGCACCATAAACAAGACCATGCCATTATATGACAAAATACAGCACAAATTATGTATGTGAGGCCATGCCATGCCATGCCATTATCTCCTAATTGTTTTCTTGCAAATCATCATTATTTGAAAAGCATCATTATTTGAGTACAAGATCAAACACAAATCCCCATTTGTCCACACCGAAAAGACCCACACACACACACAACACTACTCACATTGGATACTTTGGGATGATTTTGATCCAAGAAATCCCAAATCACCCAATTTACAGACTACTTATTTATTTATTGATCTCAAAATTAAATCAATGAAAAACAACTCTGATCTATCGTTCATGGCTTTGTTCTCCTCAATTGTCGCTCTTTCCGTTCTCGTCTTCCTCTACTCCCCCTCTCCTCTCCGGGGACCCTTCCTCTCCCCGCTCCTCCTCCTCCTTTCCAACGCCGCCCTCTTCATCTGCCTCCGCCGGCTCGCTGCGTCTCGGGTAACCGCCCGGTCCGACAAAACCGATCCGGGTCCGCGGGTTAGTTCTGCCGCCCGCCCGTCTTCGTCACTCCTAAATCCGCGCGATTCTCTCCCGGACCCGATTCGAGAGGAAGATCCTTTCGTGGAGTGGGACCTGAGATCTCCGCTGGCGGCGATCGACGAGGAGGAATGCTGCTACGACGACGTTTTCCTCGGAAGATGTGATGTGGGTCGCTGCTATCCGGAAACGGATTCCGACGATTATTCGTCGTCGGACGGGGACTTCTCGGATACCGGAGAATGGGAGGGTTCCGGCCGGTGGGAGGAGGAGGAGGAGGAGAGGGAAGGGATGATGATAGAGATTAAACTGGAGTGGAAGGAGGAGGTAGGAGAAGAGGACAATTTGATCGAAATTGACCTTTCTCCTAAGGCCGTTGGGTTTTGTGATGATGAGATTTCCGATTAAATCTCAATCAAAAATGGTAGTAATTTTTTTTATTCAAATTAGATAAATGTTGTATTAGATATATTGATACAAAAATAATTTTATTATATTTATTTTATAAAATATTTTAAAGTACTATTTTATTTCATTAATATATAATATACTCCTTCCGTCCGGAAATAAAATTTACATTTCTCATTTTTCTTTGTCCATAAATAAAGTTTCAATTTCAATTTTTAACACACAAACTACCCTAAATATCTCTCTCCCTCTCTTTCCCCCTCCCCTTCTTCTTCTTCTTTCTGGACTCCTCCTTGCCTCCAGCCTCTGCCTCGTTGAACAAACACCGCTTCTGCTTCACAGCGACTAGAGCAGGCGGATTGGAGGTGAAAGGGCGTTAAAGACAGGCAAGGATGATTTCTTTTGAAATTTCTTTTCCTGCTTCACCTTCACTCAGATCTTGTTAAAATTGCATTCGATCTTTCGCTGGAGGTAGTGGACAGGTCAGCTTTATGGTCGTTGAGCTTCACCTCCTCGTAGATCTGCTTCCTCGTGAAGCTTTTTCTGTTGCAGTTGTCAACGAGTGTGCTTGCGGTGGTGGTGGTGCGGGGCTTATTGTGAGGCTGGAGTTTGGTTGCCGGGTGGGGCTCCTGATTGCCTCGTGATGTTGGTAGATAGGGTATTGTGGTCTTCAGGCGAAAGGAAACACAGGGAAGGACAGAAGGGTTGAGGAGGGGTATTGTGGACATTTCCATCCTAAAGTTAACACTCAATAAAAATGATCAAAAGTCAAAATGGAAACTTTATTTCCAGACGGAGAGAGTATATTTTATTTAATTATAAATCAAGGATTAAAAATGATTGACTCTAAAGGCCAAATCGAGACAAAATACTCAAAGATTGAGGTAGTATCACGCATGCTATAGTTATTTTCCAATGTATGTTAAGTCTAAAGATTTTCTAGTGTATTTGATGTATTCATCTTACGACCGGGGTGATGATAATGGCATGGCTATAGAAATGATTTAACTCGCACCGCTATCATATCGAATAGTTTAGTTCGATATGTGCTACTACAAGAAAACATACTTTTCGTTGCACTTATTTTGCCACACATAACGAAGTGTGGCAAATAATTAAGAGATCTACAATTTATCCACACTTATAAATGAGGTTATTTAAAATTTAGGCTTGCATTGAGATGTATACGTACGAGTATCCACATATCACATAAATTAATCCTTTAAACTAAAGCCCAACCCAATACACAAGTTAATTAATTCTAAAAAGAAAAATCGGGAGTGGAAATTATCCACTAGGTTGAGACGTGCGATTCGGTTCTTCGATGAACAGTGTTCCGCGACTCCCTTCAATCGGAAATTCCCCTTGATTTTCTTAATCTTTTTGGGCGATTCATAATGCCTTTGATTCGTCTTCAACAAGAGAATAAGATTCAAAGCTCAATTTAGTGATTCGTGGCAGGAATTTGACAGAAACGAAGGTCAACAGTAGCGCAACTATTGTTCATCCACGATGTTGCAGGTCTGATTTTTTCGTTCTTACTGCTGATTTCAACCCCAAGATTGAGGTATTTTGAGCGGATAACATTTCCTAACCACAATCTAGAGTTTATTGATTCGTCCAAACATGAATTGTGAGCTTTGGGTGTAATTGGAGTCTCTGAGCACTGTTCACAGCGCGAGACATATACTGGAGGTTCTCCATTTCAATTCCTCTTTCTGGTTCCGTTTTTGGGCGAACCCCAAAGGTGACTTTCAGCTCTTCTTCTTCACTTTGGTTGCCTATAACTTGAAATTTTTTGGTGCAACACAACCATAAAAGAACAACACGAACGACGGGAGAAACAACACTCAAAAATTTTGAACCCAGAGCAAGAAATCACAACACTAATACCCTGTATTATTATTCTTATTCTTATCGTTTTAAGTCTTGGTTTTGTAGTGTTTAAAACAGAAACTACCATGTGATTAATCGCTTCGAAAAAAATGCAGGGTTGATGGCATATGCAGTGGTAAACACCAGTCTGCATGTTTACTCTCCTCTATTGAAATTGTGCTGGCCCCAGCTTCTTCCTCAACTGATGTTAGTGTCACATTGAACTCTTTTGATACCATTGCTACTGAGGACAACTCTTTGGGTCTGGTTCTTTTCTTAGTTTATAAGTAATGTTTTCTCCATTGTTCATTGATCGCAGCATGTTTAGTCTGATTCTAGGACATTTTTTATGTTCTAAAGATTTCACAGAATTGAAATTAAATTTTTGATTACATGTCAGGTTATTTCCATATATGTGTTAATGTTTAAATATTTGTTTGTTGGTTGTGTGTATAATCTGGCCATGTTCAAAGGATTGAATATCTTTTGAAACTGGATTCAATCTTCCTCTTGATTGACTGCTTCAAATGAATATTGAAATTTCTGTTAGTTTTGATATTTGATATACTAAAACATAACAGGTTTGCCCAAAAAGAAGCCAAAACAGATGCACATGATAGCCCTAGGGCTCATTGGAGGGTACAAAACTCCTCGGGGAAGGCCATCAAATACACGAGAAGACGAATGACACTTCACACTTTAAAGAAGCAGCACCAGATTCAGGTATAGTGGTAATTGCTCTAGATTCAGCAATAAATTCTTATGGTTAGTTTTATTCTGTGTTTAGAATATGATTTTTAGGTTGGCAATTAAGGGTGACCTCACACTTAAAGGCTAGTTTATTTGTAGTTAGGTTGGCAATTTAGAGCTTGAATAGATTTGATATATTACATTGAACCCCATATAGCGGTTGAGTTTTTTCTTATTTTGAACTTAATACAGGCTATAGTTGTTTATTATATACTATTTCAGATATTTATTTTTTCGTGCAGCTTTTGGTTGCCTTGAAGGGTGTTCTCTTTCACTACTTTTAAATTGTTTTGATCATCGAAACCCTTCAGGATGTGTATGTTATTTGCTAGTAATAAATAGATCATCGACATGTAACGTCTTGTGTTTATAGTAACTGACTTTTAATCTTCAAGGGTAATATGACTTGAAATACTCTGGTTGAATCTCTAATGTATTTTTATTTGTAGGTTGACTAAGTAGAAATTTACAAGCAACCTTTTGGGAGTGAACCAGGAAGATTGGGGAAGTGGTGAAGAGATGGATGAGGGGTTGGAGGTATAGCCATTTTTTTTATCAATACAGCCCTCAACAAAGCTAAACTTGTTGAACTTTAGAAACGGGTTTTACCATCTAACTCATCAACAAGCTTTGCTTCACTTATGGTTTTCAAGACTTTATAGGTACGTGAAGAAGATAAGGCTAACTTCTACTTGTGATATATATGGTATTCTTTTTTTTTTATGAAAGTTGTGATGTGTTATTGAATTTGGCATAAGGAGATTCAATTTTAATCTTCAGAAGCAAATTAAGCATACTCACAAGGAGCACATGTACCAGTGTCGCTGCTCTTTTCTTGAGGTAGGTGTCATCTTATTATTTTTCATAAAAAATATCTGCAATTTTTATCAATTTGATGAGATGATCCCGAAGTACCAATTATGTGTATCAAGTTTTGACATTGTTATACTATTTGAGCTATTTTCTTAGCCTATTAGCTCAATGGTAGAGCGTCGTGTGCAAAAGTACATGAAGATGTGGGTTCAAGTCCCACATAGGTTTTTTTTTATGAATTTTAAATATTTAAGAATAATGGTATTTTTGTATGTGTGGTGTTTTAAAAACATATATAAATGTGGCAAAATAAAACATTAGCCACGTATATAAGTGTGGCTAATGTATTTATTAGCCGCACTTATTAAAAGTGTGGCAAAATTTTCCTCACATTGTCACCCGCCACACTTATCCATGTGCGGCAAATAGTCTCCCCCACACTTATATGTGCGGCGAAGAACAGTTTTAAGTGTGGCGAAATACCAATTTTCTTGTAGTGGGTGCGCTTTTGCGTCATGGAAAATATTATACATGTAAATTTATAAAGGAATAATGTATATTATTGCTTCATATATATAATGAAGATTTGAATGTCATAGGATAACATCTAAGCCTCCATGAGATTCTGTTGTAGCCGAAAGTGATTTCTCCTATAGACATGTGACAATAGCATCGCAATTCTGTGATGAGTGACTTATGCATGTCTATCATCATCATTAAGGCCATCTCCCATCATCACTCCAAACTCAAACTCAAAATGCAACAAATATCAAATCAAACACTCATTCATCTCAGTTCATTACGCCGAATGCAAACTTAAAAAATATTCTCACATTATTCATTTTCTCACTTTTTGTAATATATTCTTAAAGGAATTATTAATTGATGCACAGTATTACACGTATTTACTTTGTATGGAATATAATACTCTTTATTAATTTCAAACAAATTAAAGAATTTCATAATAAAAATTATATTAAAATATGTCAAAGAATGAAACAACTAGAAAATATAATTACATTAAAACACAACAAATAAACAAAGTTACTTCTTTATTGTAACTAAACTACTAGCTAGCTCATATCAAAATTACATTAAGAAAACCATAAAAGAAAAAGAAATAGATAAAAGAAGTAGAGTAATAAAATAATTAAAAAGTGAAAGAATGATACATTAACTTATCAAATAGGGAAGGGAGTAGGGGTGCATACAAATCAAATAAAATGTATTCGATTCGTGATTCGTATTCGAAAAAGATGATTCGTATTCGCTATATTCGAATTCGAATCCGAATACAAATCATATTTTAGATTCGAATTATTTTCGAATTCGAATACAAATATTAATAGATTCGATTCGTTTATTATTCAAATTATTCGAATATTATAATTTATAAATGAATTTATATATATTCTAATATATTAAATATTTGTGTACATATAAATTTATATATATTCGAATATTNGCTATATATATATATATATATATATATATATATATATATATATATATATATATATATATATATATATATATATATATATATATATATATATATATATATATAGCCCACTTAGAAGAGTGAGATATCTTTTCTTGGTGAGTGGTGTTGTCAATGCCTTCTTTTTTTTTCTTTTCCTAATTTTTTTTTTTAAATTTTGTTTTCAATTTTCTGGCATTGAAGATCTCATGGCCTACACTGCTTTGTCCCCAATCCGACTTTGATCTTATCTTCTTCTCCTAAAATTGTGAAAATGGTCCTAAGGAGATTTTATTCCAAGGCCTCTCTAAGGCCATGTTTTTCGGGTTAAAAAGATTAACTTCCAACTTTTTTCCTCCTTCTAGTTTTTTCTAATGTTTTTTCAGTTCTTTTCGATTACATCTAGTTTTTTTTCCAACAATGTCTTAAAAAATTATTTATATATGATTAATATAAAATAATGTTATATATTCAAATGTGTAACATGTCTCCTCAAACATGGCCAATGATGAATTCTTTTTTTATATCTAAAATTATAGTTTTTTTTCATATTTATATAGATAATCATTTAATTAAGTGACTTTTTAACACTTAAATTCTTTTATCATTTTCTAACTCTTCTAGAGGACCTAAATAGAGCTTTGACATGAATAGTGTGAGAATCCACCCATTACATTCATAAGCTTTGTGACTTAACAAGCTCTCCATTTCCCATTTATAAGAACTACTTCAATTCCTCTACTGTAGAATAATTATTCTTTTTTTTTATTTTTTTGCCAAAAGGAATATACTATCTAGTTATTTTCTACTCCCTCCGTCCCTAAATAAACTTCTCCTTTCGTTTTTTCTTTGTCCCCAAATAAACTTCTTTTTTCCCTTAAAAAACTCCTTTTACCCCCTTACTTTTTCATACCCTACCTATCACATCATACATTTTTACTAATAATCTACATATCACATCTTACTTTTACACATCACATCAAGGGTATTTTTGGAAAGTCAATACAAAAATATTCCTTCCTTAAATTCTCAAAAAGTCAAAAAAGGAAGTTTATTTAGGGACGGAGGGAGTATCATATAAAAACAAGTTTTAATGACTACTTATATTTCATTTTTATAGATTTTTTCAACGGGATATGCTAGGGGTACGCCAAAGGTGTACCCCAAATGTACACCACCCCTCTCTTTACCATTCATTTTATTTTGTTTTTAATTTTAATTTTTTTTTGAATTTTCTTGCTTTTTTGTGTGGTGATGGAGGGGGTGGGGATGTTTGAGATACACTTTTGGTGTACGCCTAGCATTTTCCTTTTTCAACGCCTTTTATTTTATTTTGTCTTGGTAGAACATATACCAGAACAGGGGAAAATAATAAGGGATTGACAACATTTCATGACAATTCTTGTCGACAGTTTTTTCATGTGATTCCCCATCGGTCTTGTTCTTTGTTAAAGCAATCCACACGATTCCTCAACAAATGAAAGCTTTTTCGTTATTGTTATTATTATTATTATTATTATTATTATTATTATTATTACTACCTCAATAAAATAAAAATCGATTTAATGCTACAGTTTATTAAAAATTGATATAAATCTTAATTATCATTATAGAGTCGTGAAAATTATTAAAATATTAAATGAATTAATTGTATTTCTTTGAAATGTGTTCTAGTCAACTTTTTAAAATTTTGACCAAAATAGGCACTTTAATTTCTTTCATTAAGCATTACATAATTTTTAAATGTGCATACAATAATAAATTTTATAATGTGCATGTTCTAAGCATACGCAACGACATGTTCATACATAAATTTAATATGCAAAAAAATAATTTTGTAAATTAAATGTTGTTTATTGTTTAAATGTATATATGTCGGATCGATGTATATTAAAAACTACTTCTATTACATAAAAGTTCTTTATTTAACTTTCATAAAATAAAAAAAGATTAAAAAGTAAAAAAAAATAATTTAGAATAACTTTTACATGAATAAATTGGCGTCTTTTATTATAGCCCTTTTTCTTTTCTCTCATTATTTTAGAATAAACTTTTTTCCTAATTTAAAAAAAGAATAGGAAATTTTTAAAAAATAAAAGTAACTCAAATCCTTGTTCGCGTAGACCCCTAATTCTAGCTATTCTTTTTTTTTTACACAACACAAAAAATATATTAACACCAATAACTAATTTACAAGCATCAAAATCAGTCTCAATCACATTCATATACAAAACCAACTACACTCGTCTTACCTTATAGGTAGAGAGCATTTATCCTTAATCTTGTTATTGATACTCTTTATGTCTCAATTTTGATTTCAATTTTATTTTCATTCTCCTCATCTTGATAACTTTTGTTTATTTGGATTTTTCATTAATTATTTAATAAAATAATTAAAATATTCTTGTTATCCCTTGTTTTATAGAGGCTCCAATATGTTGCTGTAAACTCTAGGTATTCTCATGATATGGTGTGATATATACGGAGTACTTTTTTTAACCTAAATAATTTTTTTGATCTTCTATCATGTTAATATTAATTTGAAGGATAAAAGTATGGTTTGACATCAATCTAATACCAAATAACTTATTTTGATTCCATTAGATAGAGAGCAAACAATAATGACAATGACTATGGATCGGACTAGGATTCCAATGAAAAACTACTTCTCTTTCATGCAATTTTACATCAATTTTTATATATCTTTCTCCTTTCTTTCAAGTTCATTCAGTTTCTTACACATTCATCAACTTTTCTAACTTCTTCTAGTTTAATTATAATTCTTCCAATCAACTCGTTTCAGTTTCTTTCAGAGTTTCAGCTTCTTTTTGTTTTTCCAATTTCTTCTAATCTCTTCCAATTTTTTTAAACTTTTTCTATTTTTTCTCACATTCAACTCTGTTTTTTCCAACCGAAAAATGAGAGAGATTAGTACTCCCTCCGTCCCTAAATGTTTTACACACTTTACTATTCAAAAATCACGGGAAACTTTTATTTATTTTTTGTATTTTCATTGACCATTTGATGAAATAAAAAATTATTGTCAATTTTTGTTTTGTATAACTTTTGATGTATTTTTTAAATATGTTAATTTTATTTATGCTTTTTATACCAATTTTTAAATAAAACAAACTAAAAAAATTTAGAATTTTACTTTGTTTGCATAAATAGTAGTTCTTTGAATCCCAATTTGATTACATTTTTTTTCTCTCTTCTCTCAATAACTTTTGTTTGTTTACGCAATTTTATTAAGTATTTGCTAAAATAAATTATTCTTGTCACTTTTTATTTTGTAGAACTTTTGATGTAGTTTTTTTAAAATGTAATTTTTATTTTTTATCAATATACCAATTTGTAAATAAAATGATTTTAAAAAGTGAAATATTTTGTCTCGTAACCCCCAATTTGTAATCGGAGGGAGTACATGATTTAGGGACCGTATAAACATTTTTAAAAGGGAAATGCTTGGTTCACAAACTCAAGCTTCACAAACTTCACAAATTTACCATTTGTGAACTTCAATAAAGAAAATTAAATAGTCTAAAATAATTTTAAAATTAGAATTTAAATCATAAATAATAAGTTTGTGAAGTTTGTGATTCTTCTGTTTGTGAACGTAGAATTGCCCTTTTTAAAAGTGAGGAGGAAAGGCAAGAATTGTACGAAATAAATGCAATTAGATAATTCGATCCGATTAAACTATCCAATTGGTTGTCGGAGGATGATGAAATGCATCTTTTTAAAGAAAGGGTAATTCCCATTCTCTCCTTTTTTTTTAAGTTCTCGCTTTCCCATATTCAACGAACCATCGCTTTTACCGCAGCCAGAGGCGCATACGCTAACGTGCGCCGTCGATGAGCTGGCTGGTACGCGTGTCATCACGTGGGATTGGGTGCTCCAATAAACCCCACTCCCCCCAAACACACATATCATCCAGTTTGACATTAGCGGTTTTAAAAAAATTGTCCGATGCCCGATGGAAATCTTTAGAGTAGTTTTTCAGATTTAATTTACACCACTAAATTTTTATCTAAAATACTAACGTTAATTGAAAATATTGTTCCCAAACAAGTTCGTCAAAAAGGTAAGGACCGAAAAATTGGGATCGAAATAACTCAAATAAGATATGAGCAAAATTAGAAGTCAACTACAATTTAACACTTCTTATTTTTACATTTTGTCAAAGTAAGAACTCTTTTTAAGAACAAAGGAAATATATGAATACGTATTATACTTAATATACACAACATAGTACAAGAATAAATTACTCAGTATAATTAAATTATGGACCTCCAGATCACGGAAATATAGAGGTGGACACGGTACGGTTCCGGAACCGGCGGTTCCGGTACCGCCACCCCATGGCACCGGTAACGTGACTGGACCGGCCGGTACCGGTTCCGGTTCCCGGACCGGCCGGTTTCGGCCCCCCTATTTTTTTTTTGCTTTTTTTAAAATTTTTAAAGTATAAAATTGCAAATTTGCAATTGTTTAAGGAAAGAATGAAATAAAAAATCTAAAAATGTAGTTGTTATTTAAATATTGAAAATGAGTAATACACTAACTGAAGAACAACCACATTTAATATCCTGACGGTTCAAAAAAAGCGACGAGGTAAAGAACCGTAAAGAAACCCTCGAAGGAGCTTATATATCGCTCACCTAAAAAACTAATTACATATTTATATTAACATAAAAAAAAATTTAAAACTTATTCTTCAAAACTCGGACTTCCATCTGTGGTTGCATTCATGTAATGCTCCGATTCGAGTTGGTACGATAATTCTTGAGCTCGACGTCTTGCCAAGAGCCAATCTTGGTTGCAAACCAGTGTTTCAAGAGATTCAGCATTAAGACAACTTCGGTAGTCGGTTAGAATGTTGCTGCCATCACTGAATTCTCGTTCAACTACTACGGTTGATACCGGGACGGACAACACTTGTCTTGCTAGCATGCCGAGACATGGGAACATGTGTTCGTTCCGCTTCCACCATCCGAGCACGTCAAAATCGACGTCGTCGTCATCGTAATCGCATGGCACACCCTGGTACATAGCAAGTTCGTTGTGCGAGCTTACTGTTGTACCACTTGAACTCGTCGAAGACTGGGCACGCTTCCCTTTCTTTGCAAGAAGGCCACCGACTATTCCGGCAAAACCTTTTTTTGATTTCGGGGGCGGAGGTGGTGTTGTTTCTTCTTGTACAGTACCGTATAACCCTTGATATTCCTTAAACAAATCCTCAAAAAGAGTTATAGCATTATCTCTTTCATTTTTAACATTCTACTACATAGCTGTAGTAATAACTATTTTTATCTAAAAAACAACTGTAGTAATACTCAATTAGAATTTTAAAATTTTCAATCTTAAATCGTGGATCACAAATAATACCTATTTTATAAATATCAGGAATGTACAAATAATAAGTACACCATTTATCTCTAATAGGAGAGACATAAGGGTACAAATCTGGATCAGCCATACTTTCACGAAAACATGTTGCGATTGTATTGCACTCTTTATAAAATATATTTGTAGTTGGTTAGTAAACATGGGAAAAAGTAAGAGTTGCGTTATTAAAAACTTCTAATACGACATTCAATTTTTCAACAATAACAAATTCAAAAGGATGAATGATTATACGAATCCCTAAAAAATTCAGCAAGTTCCTCTTTATATCTTAGGATTTGTGCAATCAATTTGTAAGTACTATTTTATCTAATGTTGATATCTCTGGAAAAACTTATTTCTTTTTTACCCTTAGATTTACAGAACATCTTCCAGGACCTCGAAATAAGACGAGTCCCCCAAATTTTTTTAATTCCTTCTTTAATATTTGTCAAAACTCCGACCATAGCTTGTAGTCCCTGTTGAACACATAAATTTAAAACATGACAGGCACACCGTTGATGCAGAAATCTACCCATAGTCGTAGACGGTGGACAAATTTATCTATGTCTAGAAATAACAGCAGTATTATTAGTAGCATTATCAAAACCAAACGAAAAAACTTTTTCAGATAAGTTATATTCCCGCAGAATACTCTGAAGCAATAGAAAAATATTTTCAGCAGTATGCTGATCATTGAAATCACGAAATGCAAGAACACGTTTATGCATAATCCAATCACTAACTATCCAATGACAAGTATGAAAAGTTTCACCCTAAATATCAGAACAAATAGCAACACGAGAATTAAAATTGAGAAAAAAATTTGCCAAATTAATTTTTTCCATTTTATACTGGCGAATAATTTCTCGTTTAATTGTTTTTCTTGAAAAACCTCGTGCTTGAGGTTTAATGCATGTTGACAATAATCAATAAAACCAAGTTTTTCAGAAAACATGTATGACAAATTTTGTTCACAAATCATTTCGTCCATTTTTTGCTTATTTTGCTCGTCGCTATAAGCAAAAAGGTCGTCCTTACCTCTGTTAGCAAACCGAGAAATTTGGGTTTGCACTTCTTGTCGTCCCTTCTTTTTTGCCTCGTATTTGGCGTACTCCACGGGATGCCTCGACCTTAGGTGTTTTTCCGGACCGCCATAACCGCCGGAAACTCCCATTTTTATGACGGTCTCGCAATGTTTACAAGTTCCATAAACTATGCCATCTTTTGTGTCTTTGTCAAAATGATAAACAAATAAATCTGATTTATATTTTTTTTACCTTTGTTCGGACCTCGAGAGGTCTCAGGCTCACTTGCCTCCACGTTGACGTCGTTGCTCTGCGGTGTAGGCTCCTCGTCCACGTCTAGATAATCCAGTCCTGCTTCATCAAGATCTTCGAATACACTATCAAGAGTGGGGAGATTAGCGTCCCCTCTACCAGAATAAATCTGGTCGAATTCTTCATTCGTCATAGCGCCCCCGATTAAGTGATCGGGGATAGTAGGAAAGGAAGAGACAGTGTCTTTCCTCAAACTTCGGTTCACGTCGCTCATATCCACGGATCTTCTACCGGACTCCCTCGACATTTTAATATATATTTTTTTGATATTAAAAATATATATTACTTTTGGAAAAATTAAAAAAATTTCGAAATTTTATATATTAAAATTTCGAAAATTTCAATAAATAATAGAGAATATATTTAAAATATAAATTATATATTTTTTGATATTAAAGATATATTAAGAAATAATATATTTAAAAAAGATAGATAAGAATTAAGAAATTAAGAATGATTGATAAGAATTAAGAAATTAAGAATGATAGATTGAGATTTGAGAGAATGAGAGATGGATTGAGTATTTGAGATTTTGAGTGTGATATTTTATGAAAAAAGGGGTATTTATAATGTTTGTTTAGCCTCCCCCTCCCCTCCCCAATCCCCATCCCCCCTCCCTCTAACGGCTCAAGAGCCGTTGAGGCCGGCCCCCCCCCCACTGACTTTTCTTTTTCTTTTTGCAGAATTGCAGGTGTCCATTGGCAGGAGCAAAAAAAAGAAAAAAAATTAAACCGGCACCGGTACCGGTACCGGCGGTGCCGGTGACGAAAATTGGGAACACCGGTTGGGGCGGTACCGGTACCGGTTCCAGGAACCGGTTGCTCGTCTCCGGTGACGGTGACGTTACTCGGTACTGGCACCGGTGACGGTATCGCACCGGTACCATGTCCAGGCCTACGGAAATGCATACTCCGTATTTTTTTTAATTAGCCTAACATATGTCATCATTAGTCCCATCATTTCTTATAAAAAAAAATACGAGAAAAAGATAGAACAAAACATAATGACCCTTTTGCTATAAACATTAAACACCATAGTGTCTGGCAGGACCTCTCTTTGGCTCATCTTCTCCAGCCTCCTCCCCCTCCCCCTCTCCTCTCCTCTCCCCCCATTCAGAGGTGTGAAATTCAAAAGTCAAAACCTGTCTCTTCTCTTCTTTCTAGTTGTTTTTTTTGCTTGTTTCCAGAATTACAAAGTATATTTTGGGTTTTTTTTCTTATTTGTATACTCGTATAAATTAGGCTTCTTTGCTGATTTTTGTTTCCAGTTTTAATGTGTATTGTTTTCTAGAATGGTAAAGCTGAATCTTTTCTGCATCTGGTGGGGAAAAAATCATTTCTAGATTTGCAGTAGAGATTTATGGATCTGGGTTCTGGGAATGAAGAATTTGGGGCTAATTAAAATTGTTTGACGAACAGGATTGAATGGATCCATGGCCGAAAAGAGTCAAGATCACGGCGGTTCCGGCGGACTCGCCGGAGTCGGCACAGTTCCCCGATGAAGTCCTCGAAAAGATCCTATCCTTCCTTGGGTCCCACAAGGACAGGAACGCCGCTTCGCTGGTCTGCAAGGAGTGGTACAGCGCGGAGCGCTGGTCCCGGACCAAGGTCTTCATCGGGAACTGCTACTCTGTGTCGCCGGAGATCGTTGCCCGGCGGTTTCCGAGGATCAAGAGCTTGACTCTGAAGGGGAAGCCCAGATTTTCCGACTTCAATCTGGTGCCGCAGAACTGGGGCGCCGACATCCACGCCTGGCTGGTTGTTTTCGCCAGAGCGTACCCTTTTCTGGAGGAGCTGCGGCTGAAGCGGATGACGGTTTCCGACGAGAGCTTGGAGTTTCTAGCGACGTCGTTTCATGGATTTAAGGCGCTTTCTTTGCTCAGCTGTGATGGGTTTAGCACTGATGGGATTAAAACTATTGTCACACACTGCAAGTAAGACCAATCTTTTTTCTTTCTTTTTTTCACTTTTCACTAAGGGGGTGTTTGGATGTGTTTTAATTTTTTAAAAATGAGCAACAAAATCTTTTCTGGGAATTGTTTTCAAAGTCAATCCCAAACACCTCCTAACTCAGTTTCAGTTTCTTTTCAATTTATCCAGTTAAACATCTTCCATTTAAACATCATTTTTGGGCTTTTTATATTCAGTAATTGTTTTCAATCAACTTACCATTCAAAAAGAGGTTCATATTATTATTCTTATTATTATTATTATTATTTTCTACATAAAATTTAAATTCTAGATTGAGATTTTTCAGCATAATCTTTTGTTATGAGTTAAAATGAAAAGAAACAGATAAATCCCATTTCACATGATGAGCCATCCTAAACCAAGTGGCTTTTTATTATGGTTTTTACAGAAAAAAAAGAGCTGTTAGTGGGGGCCTCAGAAAGAAGAAATGATTATTATTACTAGTATTATGATTATTAATATTATTTAAACTTTGATCCTTAGTTAATTATCAAAGCTGCATGTGTTTGATTTCATTATGATTAATTTGGGTTTCTTTGCCTTGAAAAATCAAAATAAACAATAAAAAATTATCGAGATTAATTTTGGAAAACACTTTAGGATGAGAGTTTTGTTAATTAACCGAAATTAATTAACCAAGTTTTTTTAAAGGTGTCACGTCAAGAATTATTTTTAATTCACAATTCCGTACATGAAAGCACATGCAATGTTACCTTTTTTCCTCTCTCTGTGTCTGGGGATGGGACGTTTGACCTGTTAGTGGATGGCTTGTCCTTTAGTACTTTTTTTTTCCAATTCAAAAAAAAAATAAAATTAGGCACCCACACATATGGCCAATTTCATTGGTCTGTTCATTGAATTGAGTTCAAACACATTTTAGTCTTTTGCTCTCAAATTGTCCTGCCAACTAATATAGTTATACCCTATCCAAAAAAAAACTTCACTCCTTTGTCTTTTAAGTTATTTTCTCCATCTCAAAATATTTGTTGCATCCAACAAAACGAAATTAAATTTCAAGTTTTTTAAATTCATTTTCTGCAAAGATTGATTTAAAAATAAAAGGAAAAAAAAAGATAAATGAAAGACATCTCAAAAAAAGGAAAAAGATAAGAGAGGGAAGGCGAAATAAGAAATCTCTCTATATGTCAATGTAACCATATATATATGTTCCGTTAGGTACCAGCGTTAGAGTTTAGCGTTCCCGTTTTGAAAAAGCTATCTGACGTTAACCTTTTCATTACCGTTTTCAGAATTAATCTACACCATTAAAATTTTATCCAGAACGTTAACGCTAATCGAAAATGTTATTCCCAAAAAAGGCCATAACGTACGCACATGTTCTAGATCCTACATTTTGCGAGATTTTAATGTGTCTGTTGTTGTAACGAAACAAACAATTGCCCTTCTTTTGTAATTTTTGGGTGTGACAGGAGGTTGACAGAGCTAGACATTCAAGAGAATGGGATGGAAGATCTTGGGGGGAGTTGGCTAAGCTGCTTCCCCGAAGAATTTTCGTCCCTGGAAATCCTCAACTTTGCCAGCCTGGCGAGTGAAGTGAGCTTCGAGGCGCTGGAGAGGCTGGTGGGTAGGTGCAAGTCGCTGAGGGTTCTCAAGGTGAACAAGAGCGTTAACCTCGAGCAGCTGCATTGCCTTCTGGTGCGGGCCCCACAGCTGTCCGAGCTCGGCATCGGCTCGTTCCACCAAGACCTCAACCCCCAGCAATGTGCTGACCTCGAAACTGCCTTCGCCAGGTGCAAACGCTTGGAAACGCTCTCCGGCTTGTGGGACCTCGCCTCTGTCCACCTCCCTGTTCTTTATCCCGCCTGTCCCCATCTCACCTTCCTTAATCTCAGTGAAGCCATTGTTCAAAGCGCTGAGTTCGTTGAGCTTCTCCGGCATTGCCATAATCTACGCCGCCTCTGGGTAAGACACTGATCGTGAATGTTAATTTCTGAGTAAATTTCATGAATAGTCCTTTATAACATGTGGTTTTCATATTTAGTTCATAATTCTAAGATATTACACTCGTGATGGTCCATGTTCTTTTGGAAATTATTTCATAATCCGTCATTTGGGGACTATATGTGGGAAACAATATTTGATCATTGAAAAATTTGTTTCATATAGCACTAAAAGATAATACGCTTTCCTGAATACGACCATTTGTTTTAGAACTATTCATTATCAAACGTTATATGAAAATGAAGTTTATTTTTTAAGTTTTTAAAACTAGATAAAGATGAGATTTGAACTTGTTCCCCATTGCATACATATAGGTCCTTGATACTGTTGAAGACAATGGACTTGAGGCGGTCGGACAGAGCTGCCCATTGCTGGAAGAACTACGGGTCTTCCCCGCGGCCCCCTTCGATCTCGAGATCGTTCACGGGGTGACAGAGAAAGGGTTTGTCGCGGTTTCCCGCGGTTGCCGAAAGCTACATTACGTCCTCTACTTCTGCATGCGAATGACAAACGAGGCGGTCGCGGCCGTGGCCCGGAACTGCCCGGACTTCACCCACTTCCGCCTCTGCATCATGAAACCCGGGCAGCGTGACTACCTGACCGGGGAGCCGATGGACGAGGCGTTCGGTGCGGTGGTGAAGTCGTGCAAGAGGCTCCAGAGGCTCGCCGTGTCGGGGCTGCTGACCGACCTCACGTTCGAGTACATCGGGGCCCACGCCAAGAACCTCGAGACGCTGTCGGTGGCGTTCGCGGGGAGCAGCGACTGGGGCATGCAGTGTGTCCTCAACGGCTGCCCGAAGCTGAGAAAGCTCGAGATCCGGGACTGCCCCTTCGGCAATGTGGCGCTCCTCTCGGGCCTCGAGAAGTACGAGTCGATGAGGTCGCTGTGGATGTCGGCGTGCAACGTGACAATGAACGGGTGCCGGGTGCTCGCGAGGGAGATGCCGAGGTTGAACGTCGAGGTGATAAGGGAAGAGGACGGAGACGACGGCATCCAGGCGGACAAGGTCTACGTGTACCGGTCGGTCGCCGGGAGACGGAGGGACGCCCCGTCTTTCGTTCTCACCCTTTGAGAAAGATGTTGTCCTATCCAAAGGGTCATACCATTGCCTTGTCCATAGGGACATAGAGGCTGGTTTTTGAATTCCCTTAACCAACCCCATGAGGATTCTCCTTCAAGTCCTTGAACAAGACTGGTCTCTAATTATAAGGGGTGGGGGGTGGGGGTGGTCTCAGATGAAGTGGTGGAAGGAAAGTGTTGAAAATTGAAGGGGTTTTTGATTCCCCTGAGAGATTGTGAGATGTTGGGATTTGATAAAGGTTTGGGGCTGTGGAATAATAGACCGTTGCATTTATATGTAAAACTGTTTAAATTTTATATACTCTTGTCATTTATACCCCATGGTGAACTATATGAATAATCTGAAGTCTTAATTACCACTTTGTTTTGACAATATCTGAGGTATTATCCATTTTTGAATTGTTTTGTGGACAAATTTGTATAAAAATTTTAATTTACATAATTAAGAATTACATTAAAAGTTATATTCCTTCTGTCCCTGAAATAATTTCTTTATTTGATTAACGTGTAAAACCTTTTGACTTTTAAAATGATTTTGTTCACAAATTAGTACAAAAATAAAAAATTTATATTTAAAAATGACATTAGAAACTCAACAAAATACTAGATGACAAGAATGTTTTAGTTTATCAAATGATCTATAGAAACATGTAAATAAACAAGAATTATCGAGATACTCTAATAATAATAAACAAGAATATTCTTAAGGAATGGAGGGAATATCCAATAAATGATGATAATCCGGAGTTTTGTTTTTTGAAACAGCCAATGAAAATGCAAATAAAAGTTATTACAAGCCTGGATTCAACTAATAATGGGCTGGGCTACTTTCTTAGAAAACGGACCAAAGCAGATTTCACAAAATATATTTATATGGCTGCCTTGTAGCATTGGGCCCTCTGGCTCGGCCCTTTCTATTTCTCCATGTGGACTTTGGGTCTAGTATAATATGAACTCGTTAAGATATCAATAATTTGGTGAAGCGAAAAAACTGCGAGTTTAACAATGTAGTTTTAATTGTTCGTTTAATCAAAATACTTTTTTTTTTAAATTACATTTCGATTTTTGAAGTTTCTGTACAAAATTAAAATTGTGATAATGGACATGTTAAGAAAAAATTTATTTGATGTGTGACATATTGAAGTAATAATTCTGTTTTGATTGAGAACTCAAAGAATACAGTCGAGGTTAATTTTTGAACATCATAGATTTGAAACCACAACCTCATCCAATGAGGCCATGTTCCCCATGTATATATATGTCTCTTCTCAAAGTAGTATTCCAACTTTATAAAAATTTGCACTAAATATTTTTAGAAAAATTTGCACTAAATATGACTAAAACATAAGTCATTTTCTAATGTAAAATTTAAATTTTTTTATTTCCCAAATAAGACTTAATAATGTCTAGTGAGAGAAATAGTGTCCAGTGATGATAGACATTTACTTGAATAATGACTAATGAATAATGACCAATGATTCTATATTGGAAAATCTAATACCGATATGATAAAAGAAATTTAAGTAAATTCCCCTTTTTCCTAACCTATATAATAAAAGAAATTATTTTTGTCATCACTTGTTTTGTTGAAATTTTCAATAATTTGCAAAATGGTTTTACATATACAACTACCTAGTTTAGACTAGGGCCGGTTGGTCAATTAATGTATGCACAAGATTCACCATATACTGGATTATGAGGTCATATACACTCCATACTTTCATCGTCTCATAAAAATATTGTCATTTTTATTTTTAAAAAATTTAAGGAAGAATTATTTTTGTATTGACTTTCTTAAAATAAATTTGATGTGATGAGTAAAATAAGATATGATGGATAGACTTAATAAAAGAAAATTATGATGTGATAGGTAGGTTAAGAATTAGTACGAGTAAAAGTGATTTTTAATAGAAAAGTAAAAGATTTTATAAGACAAGAAGAAAAAGTTTTTGAGATAGAGGAAATATAGTTTGTCTATTCTACTATAATAATTTGTTTTATCCTTTTCCATCATTCTTTCATTAAAAAATGTCATTCATAATATTTAATTTCAGTTGCGAATTGCGATCCTGTAAAAAAATACTCCGTAATACTCATTCTATTCTAAAAAATATCACATTTTGACTTTTCTGGTCCAATTATGAGACACTTTGACCATAATATAAGTATAATTTTAAATAATTAAATATTACAAAAATGACACTTTGACCATAATATAAGTATAATTTTAAATAATTAGATATTATAAAAACTTTATATGTTAAAACTATATACTCCCTCCGTCCCCAATTTGATTACAAATTGCGGGTTACAGAGTAAAATTTCCTAATTTTTTAAATCATTTTATTTACAAATTGGTATATCAATAAGATATAAAAATTACATAATAAAAAACTATGTCAAAAGTTCTACAAAAGAAGAGGTGACAAGAATATTTTATTTAATCAAATACTTAATGAAATCGCGTAAACAAACAAAAGTTATCGAGAGGAGAGAAAAAAAATATTGTAATCTATTTTGGGACGGAGGGAGTATTAAAATAAATCCTATTTTACTAAATTTATATTATAACCAAATATACCTATTTCCCAATTTATGAACGAAGCACTACATATTTTGACCAAAAAGATCAAAATATGATAATGTTTTTAGGACGGAGAGTGTAATAAATTTTTAAACACTTCTTTTAAATTCGATAAAGTCAAATGCTGAACATATTATAACAATGGAACATGATAGATGTACACCAAAATGTGGTACCACATTTGTACACAGACAAACACAGACAATTAGTGTCCGTAAACTTTGACTGTATATTACGGAAAAAATATATTCAATTTTCATATAAATTTATTATCAATAGATTCATTTTGAAACATAGTTTTGAAATATATTATTTTTATAATATATATTCATATAAAAATGGAGATATTAATGGTCAAAGTGTCACATTGGAGACCGTGAAAAGTCAAATGAGAAGTTAATTTTAGGACGGAAGGAATAATATATATCTATACATAAATAGAGAAATATTAACGATTAAAGTGTTGCATTGAAATAATTAAAAAGTCAAATAGAAAGAATTTTTTGGAGGGGGAGAGTATAATCTAAACAAATGCATATTTAAATTAATAAATAAGTACTTTATTTTTTAATTTATAAAACTTGATAGTAAGAATACTTACCGGAAGGATATAATCAAATTGAAACACCGGAAAAATACTTGCAGGAACACCAAATATATTTATTGTCCTGTATTTCATCAAAATAATGTATATAATATTTTTTCTAATAACATATTTCTAACAGGGTACAAGGTTGATGTTCTTATATAGGGATTTCAGAACCAGTTTTTTGGCACGCATTGTAGGCATGACTGTTTTAAAAAGTGAAAACAATTATTGGCATTCATTAGGCACGGCATTTGGCACGGCATATCTAGAATTAGGCACGGCATTTGGCACATCTTCGTCCCAGCGAGTTACTCCGTATTAAAAATTAACGTTGCCCAACGGAAACGAAACGGCGTAAAGGTTGTGAAATTGGCACGGACCTTGGCACGGACAAGGTAGTGCCAAATTCAACCTCGCACGGCATTGCGCCATGTGGCATTTTCTCTCCATCGGCAAAGGCACGACGCAATCCGTGCCTAAAAATCCGTGCCTAATGCGCGATTTTTTTGTAGTGATGGCTACGTAGTTACGTAGATTTCCAAGAATGAAGCAAATTTTGTAACGTATTCCCGTGAAGAAAAAAGTGTAACGTACTTTAAATTTTTTTTTCCTTATGGAATTTAATATAGTCCATACTTATCCAATAGGATGACAATTTTGCGCAAATGGAAGTTATCTGCAAATTATATCTGAAATGGATAAATAGTGTGAATACCTTAAATCCAATGACCAACGCACCTCTAAATTGAAAATTCGTCCCTTTTTCTAATAATGGGAGAATATTCAGCTTTTATTTATATTTGATCTTTTTTTGTAGGGTATAATTAGTTTGTGCGAACAGTGATTAGAGATTTATTTAATTAACACCTCGATATTACAAATGTTTTTCTAGTTATTTAATTTTGATAATAATGTGATTAAAATGTTGTGATTTTAAATCTTTATTATGTAGAGTCTAGGGTTTGGAGTCTCAAGTCTTAATTATATGCTATACAAATTTTCTAATGATATGTTTAGAAAGTTGAATTTGGATTTTAAATCCAGATTTACTCAAAAAATCTATTGTAATTCGAAAATCAATAATTTTTATTTGTGAAGTGGTGTTTGGAACTTAAAATCTTATTTTAACCTTTTCATTTCAATTCAAAAATTTAATATTGTTATTTAGATGATTACGGAAGTAACGTTCGAGATTAGCGCTAGCATTTTAAATAAAATTTCAACGATGCAAATTATTTTGAAAACGCTAATGCTAAACGCTGTACGTAGATATACTTTCTAAAATATTAAGGTTAATCTCTAATATTATTTCCAACCAGTTATCTACTCCAATCCGTACGAGTGAATATATGAAATGTCTGAATAAATATATGAAATGTTTGAAGTCAACTTATTACATAAAAAAGTGGCCGGCCGGCCCGTAACGGTTGACTACGCCTTATTAAGTTATTATGGGTGATGGGGACTACTTGGTAACGACTAGTATTCAATAAAATATTAATATATTTTTCTAAATAAATGGATGTGAATATAATTTCTTTTAAATCAATGAAATAACGTTACAATAGAGGTATGTGTTTGTAGAAGGAAAAATTAAAAAATTTAATTAAATATGAACGGCATATGTGTTGGCCATAATAATTAATTAAATTACAGGCAACTTATAAAGCAAAATTAAATTGAACATATTGAACGAATTGGAAGGTTGAGAGTGAGTAATAATATGATGAGTAAGGAAAATTCCGGACCGGCCTGAAATACTTAGAGCCGAATAAAAATATATATTTTTAATTTTTTTTGATAAATTAACTATATTTTAAGCTTTTTATTTTGTACCGTGCAAATAAAAAAAAGAAAAAATAGACAACCTAAAAATGGGTACACTACATGGACTACTATGTAGATATATACATAAAAACTAATGTGAAACACTTTTTTTGAATTTTTTAAATTAGTTAATAAAAAACCATTTAAATTAAATTAATTAAGATATCTATTAAAATAGAGTATCAAAGTTTAATATGAAACTTAAAAAATAGAGCTTTAGTTTTTGGGTCTAATAAAGTTATTATGTTCATTCGGTGCAATCGATTTGGACCTAAGTCAATTTAGGTTTGGACTAGACTGGATTAAAAACCGAACACCTGAATTTTATTGAATTGAAGACCGATTTCAAATCTATTTGGTCCAAATTCGGTCTAAACTCTGTTTTTTCG